GTCAAGATTGTGCAGCAAATTCCTATCCTAATGGGCTGCGCCGTCCTTCCGCACCTCAAGGGCTTGGTCGACTGCATCGGGCCCAACCTGAACGACGAGCAGACCAAGGTCAGGACAGTCACCAGCTTGGCTATTGCCGCGCTTGCCGAAGCTTCAAACCCCTACGGTATTGAGAGCTTCGACGATATCCTCAACCCGCTGTGGACTGGAGCTCGCAAGCAAAGAGGCAAGGGTTTGGCTGGTTTCCTCAAGGCCGTCGGTTTCATCATCCCGCTCATGGATGAGGAATATGCCAACTACTATACCAGTCAGATTATGGAGATTCTCCTTCGCGAGTTTTCTTCCCCAGACGAGGAGATGAAGAAGGTTGTCCTGAAGGTTGTGTCTCAGTGCGCTGGTACTGATGGTGTTACCGCAGGCTACCTTAAGGAGCATGTCCTGGACGAGTTTTTCAAGAGCTTCTGGGTGAGGAGAATGGCTTTGGACAAGCGCAACTACAGACAGGTTGTCGAAACCACCGTCGATATTGGCCAAAAGGTCGGCGTCAGCGAAATCCTGGAACGAATCGTAGTGAACCTCAAGGACGAGAGTGAGGCCTACAGGAAAATGACTGTCGAGACAGTGGAGAAGATTGTCGCTAGTTTGGGCGCAGCAGACATCGGCGAGCGTCTTGAGGAGCGCTTGATCGATGGTATCCTACACTCGTTCCAGGAACAGAGCGTGGAAGACATTGTCATGCTCAACGGTTTCGGCTCCGTCGTCAACGCCCTGGGATCGCGCTGCAAGCCATACCTGCCCCAGATCGTCAGTACCATCCTCTGGCGATTGAACAACAAGTCAGCAACAGTACGGCAGCAAGCAGCCGACCTCATCTCACGCATTGCTATGGTCATGAAGCAATGCGGAGAGGACGCTTTGATGGGCAAGTTGGGTATCGTCCTTTATGAATACCTGGGTGAGGAGTATCCCGAGGTTCTTGGTTCCATCTTGGGAGCTCTGAGGTCGATCGTCACGGTTGTCGGTATTACACAGATGCAACCTCCTATCAAGGACTTGCTGCCAAGACTCACCCCTATCCTGCGCAACCGACACGAAAAGGTCCAAGAAAACACCATCGACCTGGTCGGTCGTATCGCCGATCGCGGCCCCGAGAGTGTGAACGCCCGCGAGTGGATGCGTATCTGCTTCGAGCTCCTCGACATGCTGAAGGCACACAAGAAGGGCATCCGTCGTGCCGCCAACAACACTTTTGGTTTCATCGCTAAGGCCATCGGTCCCCAGGATGTGCTCGCCACGCTGCTGAACAATCTTCGCGTGCAGGAGCGTCAGTCCCGTGTCAACACAGCTGTTGCCATTGGTATCGTTGCTGAGACTTGCGCCCCCTTCACTGTTCTTCCCGCCCTTATGAACGAGTACCGCGTTCCCGAGCTCAACGTACAAAACGGTGTGCTCAAATCCCTCTCTTTCCTATTTGAGTACATTGGCGAGATGGCCAAAGACTACGTCTATGCTGTCACCCCTCTGCTCGAGGATGCTCTCATCGACCGCGACCAAGTCCATCGACAGACGGCCGCATCTGTCGTCAAGCATATCGCGCTTGGCGTTGTCGGCCTTGGATGCGAGGACGCAATGGTTCATCTTCTCAACCTCCTATATCCCAACCTCTTCGAAACGAGTCCTCACGTCATTGACCGTATCATCGAGGCCATCGAAGCCATCCGCATGGCGGTTGGCCCTGGCGTCGTTCTCAACTATGTATGGGCAGGCCTGTTCCATCCTGCGCGCAAGGTACGGCAGCCTTATTGGCGGCTGTATAACGACGCGTACGTCCAGGGTGCCGATGCCATGGTACCATACTATCCCAACCTGGACGAGGAAAAGGTTGACAGGTCAGAGCTTGCAATCATGCTCTAAGTTTAGGAAGAACACGGGAAGGGAGGGATATCAGAGGCAAGCGGGGCATAAGGTTCAACGGGTTTCCAGGGTTTGATTTTCTTCTACGATATCCAAGAAGGGATGTGTTCTTTTTTTTCCGGGCCCGCACAGGCTCTAGGGGAGTGTGTTCCGAGAGCGAGCGAGCGAACGGACGGGCCGCGGGGGTGAGGCTCTGATCCGGGCTTAGGGGAAGGAAGAAGGAAGAAGCAGAAGAAGAGCAAGAGACTTGTAGCGCGTGTTCGACGGGCGCAGGGTAGGCAGCCATTGTACTTGAGTCATAATACTCGCATCGTGTAGACTTTTCTTGTTTTTTTTTTCTTCATTTGGTGGAGCATTCAGAGCAGCCAAAAAACAAATCAGCGGCGTTATTTGATCTTAATGGGCAGAATTAAAACTCCACGATGAAAGCTCCATTTTGATTTTTGTTGTTGAGAACTTGGGATACCAGTAATAATTCCCTCCTTTTTTCTTCTACATGCTTTCTCATCTCGCTGTGCCCGCAGAAGCCCCCCCCGGGTGACCCTGAACTGGAGAAACGTGCTCGTCCGTTCGCTGTAATATGACTCGGGGCTTCCAGACGGCGGGGTGCAAATGGGGTGGGCTGTATCTCACTCGAACGGCTGTCTCCGTGAAGCTTTTCACGTCTCACGGGTTACCGGTCTGAAGGTGACGGGGATTCTTGTTCCCACTCTGTGAGAGAACTCTGCGGCTTCTGTCAGGCACGGAATGAATAGGGTCATAGTAAGCGGTGAACGATCTTCTCTAGATACAGAGTTTTTCGGCGACTGCTTCGTAGCTGGATACCTTGTTGAGCACCGACCCCCGGCCGGCTGGGGCAAATGAGGCAGAGAGTTTGTACGCGGAGGATGGACGCATGTTTACTATCTCATCCGTGTGTATGGAACCCATATGATGTGGGATCCGTACGGTATGCTAAACTATATGTTCTGACCCGCCCGTGTTGAGTGTGCCTTCATGACAAGACGTGGCGTGTTGATGATGTACGAATATACCTGACCTTGCCCTATTCACATCCTTTACCTTTCCCTCGAAATGAATGTTGTCCAAACCACCCCAGTCTCGGCACGCCGGCAGCGGGAGTCAAAGAGGCATTAGGGGACTCGGAGAGCAAGTGCCAGCAGCCAAGGCGTCTATCCGTAAGTGACTACTTACTATCCCATATTCAGATATTGGGAAACGGGCGCAATGCAAAGCAAGGACCAACATCTATCATCCACACCCCCTCAACTCACCCAATCCACCGCTCGCCGGTATTGCGGGGGCGACGAGAAGAAGAAGAGAAAGAAGCTTGGGGCCTGCCGCCCCAGAAGGGGGAAGGGGGAAGAAGCTTGAAAGCTTGACACACGATTCAGCCTCGTCTTGCCTAGCTACAATTGTATTCCGCATATCATACGGAGCTCACAAAGAAGAAGAGGAACCACATTTACACTCAAAAATCAACAATCTCCAAATGCAGTCTTCCCGGGTCATCTGGTGTATAGCGGAGAGCTGGTGGGGCGAAAGGGGGTGTGCTCTTGAGCCTTGATTGCGTATAAGTCATGTTTTGGTACAATACTGTGTATTCTAGTCATGTTCAAATCCGAGCATTGTATATCGGGAAACCCGGACCCCCCGCTTGTAGTCCCGCGGCCACGGGAGTGGGAGAGAGATTGATGAACGGGGAAAGGCACTGGAGAAAACCGAAAGGAGGCAACCTGTTTTTCGGAAAATGTCTCCTGTGATAGACCTCCGTGAGCCCACGGGGAGTCTGGGGATGGGAAGTCATCGTGAACTTTTACCCGATCCCCGCCGCGCGATTCAAAGAACCAGTCAGCCTCGGGCCCATCGGCCGCCTTGCGTCCTCAAACGCGTTGCATATAGCACAAACGTATTATCACAACAACTCCTCTAAACTGGGGAAACTCTGCAGCCCCGTTGAAAAGGTCTGAACTATGAAATCTGAACCACATCATCATCCCCGATTCCCCCGTTGTCCAGCTTGATCCAAGCAGCAGGACGTTAAAAAATAGAATTGCGTCCTAGTATACATGTCGTCCAAGGATGGCCCCGATACAAGTTTACCCAGAGGTTGAAGAGGATTTCGAAAACGCCGATGCATCTGCCTTTCCACTTCCGCCCAGCGAATGGATTAGATGGATGGCCTTGCTACCGTCAGGCACAGCTCACGTGTTCCTCATTGCGTCGGCGGATGGTTAAAAATAAGCATCCCACATATTAGTCGAAAGGAAGAGGAGAAAAGTTTTACAGACATGATCCCTTCCCACCTCCGTACGGGGGAGAGCTTGGCTCCGTGCCGCAGGAACAGCCGGGCGAAAGGATACCTTGTTCGGTTAGCAAAATGAACCACTTATTCAAGCTTCCCACCTTGAAGGAAAAAAGTTGCAAGTCCCTGGCGCTCTCACGTCAATATCGTAAGTCAAGATTCAAGTGTCGTCGCCGTCTGTCATTGTCGTCGACGCCGCGATCAGCAGTACCACCGTACCTATCTTGTGGGTCAGGGGGCAGCATATCGCCGTCCCCTTCTCCCCTCTTTTGTGTTGTTTGAGATGTCGACGGAATGCAACTCACTCAGGGGCAGGGCTGGTTTGGTTGGTCGGTTGGCACGCTCGGTTGGCGGTGGGCTGGCAGGCTGCGGGTTGCGCTCCTGATGTTGCTGTCGGTACCACGCTGCCCTTTATTAGCTTGTTGTTCTTCTGTTCCCTCCCCCCTTCCCCTTCGCTGTATGGTACAGTTCCCGTGGGGAATGAAAACCCCTCCTGTCGAAAAATGCGAGATTCAGGTGAGCCAACGCGGGTAGATTGTCGAATGTTGTAGTGTAAAATATGGACGGAAACGGGATCAAGGTCTCGTTTCGAGTGCAAAGAGCCTCAATTCCTGAGTTCGCCAACCCCATCGCAACCGGTTCGCTGTGTCAAGTCGCTAGGCCTGGTGGCGCTGCGACTGCAAGAGGCGATATCGGAAAGTGAATTACGGTTCTTGGTCTCTGCCGTGGGCTTGCTCTTGCTCGGATATGCAAACCCCCGAAAGTGCCCACAACGCAGTGTAATCCGCACAAGCGAGCGGCTTTCCTGGCTCCTGAGACATTCCGTTGTTTTCGTCCAGCGGTTTGCGGACATCCGCGCCGTCTCACACTCGGCTCACTACCAAAAGGCGCCCCATCTTTGCTTCCTTTTTCTCCAGACCGCGTCTACGTGTGTTCTCAAGCCTCACTGGCAAAGGAAACGGTCGCGACGGCGTCAGCGTTGCCTCTCGCGCAAAGGGACACTGCGGGGGATCTGCGCGCCTGCGTCAACTGGGTAAACTGAGTTGAGGCTAGACGGCCATAGTCTGGGCTGACTTGAGGCGTTCCTAGTGTAATAATCGCCCTTCCACAGTGCTTGGACCAACCACTTCAGTCCCCCAAACTCCATATTGGTGTTCCTCTTGAGCAACGATCGACATTTCACCCCCGGGAATTTTTTCAAGTCCCGCGGCGCCGTCTTCATCTCTAGATAACGTGGATAACGACCGAGACTAAAACAGTAAGCACTGTCTCGGTGAGCTCGGCCAAATTCACTGGCAGGACAGGGGCTCTTTGCAGGAGGAATGGGCGAATCTTGAGGCGGGCATAGCGGGACTCTATATGGAAAGACATGTTCGAGACAGCCACAGCGGAAAGCCGATGAGACTCGGATTCCCTAGGCAATCTTGCCTCATTTACATGCCGCCTCTATCGAAGCACTAGACCAAGGGAATGGAAGGCAAGGCGTGTTTAAGGTATGCGGTACGCATTCAACCAGACCACTGCGCCATGTCTCATCTGATTAGAAAAGAGTCGTCACAGATACAGATACTGAGGTCGTAGTGCCGACGCGCCGTTGTGAACTTTCGATCCAAGGGGGAGGGGAGGGGGGAAGTGGCGGTTTTCAGGACCTATCCGAGAATGGGCATGCTCACAAGCAACAGCATGGTTTCGACCGTGTTCGACAGCACAGAAGAAGACATATCGTTAGCTGGCGTTTCGTCCCTAAATCATATCGGCATCGTCCTCGTGTCGTCTCATGTGCGAGATCTCCATGATCGTCATAGATCATCGTTGTCATCGTGCTGTCGTCCCTTCTCCCACGAGGATTCAACATCGCCCGAAAGCTTCCCCAGACTGCTCCACCCCATTTTGTTTACCAAGCCGCAAGAAGCAGGCACTGCTGCACTGGCAGGCAGGCCGCCAGCGTGCTCCGTGACCATTCAAATTCGGTGAAGGCAGCGGCGGATTTACCGCGGGATTGCTGATTAGTGCATATGCAAATGCTCAGCAGGCACTTCTGGGAACAAAGTTTGCGCCAAAAGCGCAGGGCTGCGCAAGGCGCAGGTTGGCGCATTGGAATACTTTGGTCAGCGCATTCCACTAGCAAACGGTTTGGCGCCGGGGGACGTTCGGAACGACGGAGTAAGTTCTCGCAAGCTTGCAAGTTGCAGGGAAGATGACGGAGCAACTGTGCCGTCTCCATGACTGAGCGAGTAAGTCAAGCTTGGCAGGCCATGACTGTTGAGTGGTGTTGAGAGTGACTCGAACAGCACCTGACAGCTACGGAGGCACGGAGGTATCTGTATAGCAAGGACGAGAGGGATGGCAGGATATTGTGAGTTTCCTGCTGAATCCCAGATCTGAAGCATCTGTAAGGGAGGATGAGTGTGGACAGGGAAGGTATGGAGGGAGCGTTGGCGCGGGGGTTGCGCGTCGTTGTGTTGGGAAGGCCTTGTCCGAATCAAATTTGTGTCTGGAAAGCCTCATCCTCAAGGACCGACCCGGAAAACAAGAGTGGCAAACCGCAACAGCTGTGTGCGATAACGCCGGGCACGGGGCTGGCTGCGCAGGCCGGTGCATCCGCAAATGCAAATGTGAAGGCGGAAGTGCGTTTCGGTCGATATCTCTCGAATGGCAGTCGAAAAGTTGTTACGGGGATGATCTGAATTGCTGGGACGAAACAATTCCGGGGAAAGAAAAGTTAATAAACTCGCGGTACACAAGCTGGGGCGTTCCTATTCGGTATGCATCCTGCTTTCCATTTTACTCAAGGTGAGAAAGAGGGGGGTATCCGTACTTTTGTTACTTTTGTAGGTACCTTGCATGGAGATGACCTGAGTAGGTATGCATACCTACGTGCCTGCCTGTGCACATATCAGACGGAAGGTGGAATCGGTGGAAGGTTGAAAGGGTGATGTAGCACGGTAGATAATTAATTGGGAAAAGGGGAAAGATCGCAAGGTGACCTCTTGCTGTTTCGGAATAAGAGGTAGGCGAAAGCAGGCTCGCAAGGGGCGTTTACGTCATTGAGTGTTTCGAAACATATCCCACGATGCCCCTTCCACGCTCGGTTTCCCCCATGTTTGGGGGCGTGAAGATGCGGCAAGCACAGCCAGCCCTACCGAGTACCGAGAGCTCCGTACGCATACACCTGCCTCGACATCAAATGTCTATGTACGCTAAGAGGTGTCAGATGTCTGGTACCAAGGGAAGAAGCGTGCCTTATTCAATGCTTTGCCTACGCAGTAAGGTAGGTACGGATACCTGCCTTCAGAATAGAATATAGCTGCCCTGATTTCACGGTAAGGAAGGAAGCAATTGAGAATGAAATCACCCGACTGGAATGAGTGCACAACTGTTCAGGGCAGCCGCCCGGAAGCCTCGCCTTCCTCTCCCGCCTTACCTTACCTTAGGTAATTAATTAGGAACCATCTCGACAACATCCGTCCGATTTTGACAACGCTGACCTCATGTCATCCAACCTCACCACTGAGAAAGCGAAAGACCACATTTGCCTTTCTTAACGCCAACGTCTGTCTCCTACCAGGTCAAACCCAAACCCTCACCCCTCAGCGCGAGTCGACCACATCGGATCAAGATTACATGACTATGTCCTGTCAACAATACCCTGCCTTTCGAGTTCCATCCACAACAAGTCTGAGCAATGATGGCATCCACACGCTCACCATGTACTTCATCGTCGATGCTGTCCAGCGCTGACTTCACTTTCTTGTTCCCCTCCGAAGTTCCTCGTTCGCGGCTTTGACCAAGGTGGACATTTCCTTCGAACTATCTCCTTTCTCGGCGCTAGTCAGTCCACATCGCCTTGACCTCAGCATGACGCCGCCGCCTAGTAGCTCCATGCTATTCTGTTCTTGTCCTGACCGATTCGCACCGTTACTCGCGTGCTGGCACAAGGCTTGCCGGCTCCAGCAATCCCGCCATTAGAAGATGCAGCTACATGGCTCGCGGCCCTGCCTCTTTGGCCTCTGCCATGGCATTTGGGCTTTGGCCTTTCCCTCTGCTCTTACGGCCATGTCCTTCCATGGCATTAAACTGGAGCTACGGGATCAACACGAACATTCCGATGCTGCCAGGGAGACGTTCGTCCCGTCTCGGTAGGCGTTGCTCAGGGCGTTTGGCTGTCAGCCACAAGTCGTCTGCAACAGGATACGCGCGTCACCTGTCATTCGCTCCACCATCTTCAGAAGCCGAGAAGCTCACACAACATACAACCGAGCTTCCGACGTTGACTACAACACGTCTGAAGGCCTCTCGGTTTTGCCTTTCCCCCCTTTTTTCAGGAACGGACCACGGGTAGCACACCGCCGAACACGAGAGAGACATGACAGGATGGGACGGGATCAATCGCTCCATCTCTCCCCGGCCTTCCATAGCTATTTCGAGCCGGCTTTCAACACTACAAAAAAAACCTTACATGATACCTGAGCGCGAGAGAGTGCTGGTAGTTCAGCGGCTCCATCTCGCATCCTGCGCATCCTGGACACGCTGGCTCTCAGACAGATGCCGCTTAGCATCGTCAAAATGGCTGCTCCATTATTTCCAATGCAACCGCACACCCGCAAAATGCGAGAACAGGAAATTTCGACTTCGAGAAACCATGTGCCAACCCACTGCTGGCCATCTATCTGGCGACGACGCTCTGATGGCCCCACATAGAAATCCAAATCAATGCCTGTTCACATGGTTATCGAATTGCATGGCTTCGAGCAGCAACATCAAGTCACCAACAGCACCTCATTTCTCAATAACAACAGCAGTATCCGTACGGATATGCAAGGCCTCCCTCCTCCCCCCACAGGTATGTCTGTAGTGTAGCAGCACGCAGGACACGCCTAGCCGCTAAAATCTTCAGCTAGGGCTTCGCTGCCGTCCCGGACCCTAGATAATCGAGCCTTGGGGAACAAGAGAAAACGACCAAGCGGCCAACGGCCAGCGCGCATCCTGTCATGTTTCTATTACCATTTCTCACCACTGGCGCGCCTCACGGCTCTTCCTCGCTCTAATTAAGCCTCCTCGATCAACTCTAGGAGCCCAGAGACAAGAAACAACACGATGGTACTCTGCGCTTCAGGCACCCCAGGCACAGGAACCTTGACAAAGTGAGGCTGGCACGGCTGGGCCGTCTGCAGGACAACAGAAAACGGTCATGATCGACATTCCCCGCTGTGGGCTGCAGAAGAGCTAGGATGATACAATGCGCTACTGTCAATTCCAGTATAGCGTCTCCATACAGTTCAATGCCAAGGGAGCTGTCTGGAGTCTCTCTGGATTGCTTGATTGCTTTGGAGAGACAAGAAGACCCGCCTTTGGGGAATCCATGTCGATTCTGAGACATTCCCTGGTCAATTCAATCAGCAAGGGGTAGGCTGCTTGATCGCTATGCTCTCCCGTCTCCTCCGCTCTCGCTCGCAGTGCACACTCAGACGGCAGCCAATGCGCACCCCTTTACATAGACGCACTCCTTTCATAACAACTATCGCCAAGGGTGCTTTTGATGAGTTTCTCGTACTCAGCTGCCGCGATGTGCCTGCACTGCCATCCATTATCGTCGAATCCCACCTGGCCTTACACTAGGCAACCCTATTCAACCCCGTCCTCGACATTGCATTTTTTCCCTCTCGAACTTTAATCCACCACCAACGTTGCACCCGAGGCGCTGTGGGTCGTGCCCTCACTATTGACCATCACCGACTTTGGCAGGTTGCAAACATCCACTCTGATTCCGCACAAGCCCGGCCGCCCGCAGCCCGCTCATCCGCTTGGACGGTAATATGACAGATTGCCTACAGATTCCGGCCGACAGAGAATGTTTCCTTCAATGCGACCCTGTCGTTGTTTTGGGAGAGAAGATCAGTCAGGTGCCGTTCCGCCGCCGGACTCTGGGCGGTGATCGGCGCCGTCATCATCTCGGGTATCTGGATCAGGTGGCACTCCACGCTCAACTGCACCTCATTGACGGCTCCATGAATTCTCCTGTGCGTTCGGCCCTACTCAATGCCGTTGACTGCCAGAAGCTTTGGGGGCCAGGCTTAATCATCCCGTGGCTCACCGAGCCGTCGCGCCGTTTTCCAATAGACTCATTGCTCGGTCAAGGGACGAGCGCGGCTTTCTCGTGTACGGAGTACGGATGGATAGCCGGCTGTCGTCGCCACCTACCATCGGGTTCTGCATGTGGAGAGGACGCGTTCGCTCCCCTTGAGCTGATGGAGCCGGGTCTCGTCGGGTTGCCTGCCATGGAAGCTTTTCCCAACCAGCATGTCCCACTCTCAACGACAAGAAATCATCATGTCGAGATCCCACTCCATCGACGAAGCCATTTCAAAAACTGCTGGATCAGCGCTGAGGTGCTTGTCAGTCTCCGCTACGTTGGCTGGTTGGCACGTTCTCAGACTTCGAAGTCTGTTCACTCACCTGGGTCCCCGGGCTCATCGGCGACCTTAACGTTGCTGCTATCAACACTTTGGGCATGGACCTCCCATGTCTAGCGTGTTTCAACTGTCTCTTTCGAGGTTACCGCCAATTGCCATCCTTTCGAATAGGGCATAGTGAGGCTTTGATTTGAGATGAACGCTGGGGGCAATCTCGAGAACCTTGTCGCAACTCTCCATGTTCCGCATATCCCATTTCGCTCATTCCGAAAACACCACCATCTGATCATCTTCTTCGGGAAAGGACCTGCAGAGTTGACCCAGCAAAGGCTGTTGAGTCCTCCAAAGACGGCTCATCCTCATCCAACAATTCCTTGTCTGTCGGCTGTTGCTGAAAGGTTTATTGGGCCAGTCTCCTAAACCGGCGTTCCATCAGGCAGGGTTGTTCCTGGCCGATCATCTGCGGAACTCTACACACTGGAGACTATCGTCCGGGGATTTTATTGCCGAAGAGAACTTTACACTTCAGGCCTGGCTCTGCCCAGGCTGCCAGGGTCTTCAGCCGACAGATGGCCTTTGAGCTGAGGACCCCACCTGCCATCTCCTAGGCCCTAGGGACCCGGGTCGTGATCCAGAAGAATTCAAAAAGAATTATCCGTTATTAAGAAGATGGGTTCTTGTTATCGGCTCCAGGGAATCCGTTTTTGGATGGGGGCCAAATGAAGCCATCTCTATTGGGCTATCACGGCAGATGTTATTTGCCACTTCTTCTTGTCTTCGGACCTTGCCACGAGATGGAAGCTCACACGAAAGTTTTGGGCAGTTCCACGGTGATTCCACTAGTACATGGACACGCGCCTCTGAACTGATATCGGGCCGCTTTTGCTTGCCGCGAAGAAGTCGTCGAAGCGCCAACCATCGTGCCAGCGCAGCCTCTGCTTAGCTTCTAAGCCTCTTCAGAACGTGGAGGTCACTTGAAGTGTTGCTGTTGACACAGGAATCTCAGTTCGGCATGTCTTTGAAACAGAGGCCAATGATGATTGGCTGCCTTGAACCGTTGCAATCAAGGAGGCAAAATGCTCATCAGGGTCCAGCTTGCGCACTAAGCACGATTAGATGACACTAGGGGATTGTGTCAGAGATTAGTCTGTTGCGGGCAATGGGCACTTCGTGACCGCTCTTCAATATCCCGTTTGCCCCGGTCTCTGCTAGGGAGGCGGAGAAACAACCGGGGTTGCAGGAACGTTCCGCACTCTCAGAGTCCTAGCTAGCGTCGCGACACCGGCCATGGGCAAAGAGCGAATCGTGAGAATAGAGCGGTTGAATTCGAGGGCGTCAAAGTGTTGGTGTGGCACTTGCAGAGGCAGCGGTCGTTGTCTGGCTGCAGCGGAAAAGCTGCTAGTGCGGCGCCACTCCCATCACCCGTCATCTCCCTGAAAAGGAACGGTGGATCATCTCCCCTGTATATCCTTGCAGATTGTGTGGATCTTGTCTCTGGTGCAATCAAGTACCGAGTTCCTCTGTTTTCCTTTTTTTTGCTTTCCCTTTTTGCCCTCTCTCTCTCTCTGCGGACACCTACGCTAATCCTGCCAACCCCTGCTATGCATCGCATTGGGGATAGAGGACATATTCCTAGGCAATGCCAACCCTCACTCGGACCTCAGGCATCGAAGATCCGGGAAGCCGCGAGACATTGCTGCCAGGCCTTGAGTGTTTACACTCCAGAGTGTGCCTCGATCTCCGTATCCCATGTTTGTTGTAAGGGACACCAACAAACTGAGAGTCAAGGGGAGTGTACGGAGTATACATCGACATGTTGAGCATACTTTTTTGTCCGGAAGGCGTTTGCGACCCATCATTTCTTGGTGATATTTATCAAGAGAGCCTTCCAGACCTTCAAATATTGCCAAGCATCTCCATCTTCGCAATAGCCCATGGTGGATGCTGTCCAAGTTGGGTATGGAATTTTCCTGAGAGATGAAAGATTCTTGGTGTGGAGAGCAATGGGGGCCTTAACGGCAGCTTCGGGTGGAGGACGGTACCCTGCAGACACGGCGAGACGGACACTTTTCCTGCTCAACACGTGAAGAAAAGAGATATTTTGGGTTATTCATCCACGGGCAATAGCTAAATCTGCGCGAGGCAGACGATGACATGTGGTGCGCTGGGAAACGTCTGGAGAAAGGGCAACATCTCCACTTGCGCCATTGTAGGATGGATGAGGGGCAGCGTTGATCGAGGGTACCCCGGATCGTTGATGTAATTGCTGGGCCGTTTGGATGCTGACAAGCAATGCCTGGCCGGCTGGATGGCCGACCATCCAATGCTGCCAGATCATGGTTTCTCGTCCTCGTCGTCCAGCATGCCGTAACTCAAACACGAGAAGGAAAGAATCCTGATTATGGAAAGGATGAAAAGAGGCACGCTACGTCAGTCAAAATCCACTGGCCTCACAGACGACACTACCACCCCCCATGCGGTTTACCTCCGTCAACCCCCGTCATACTCGACACAGGCAGATACGGATGCCCAAGGCCACATGAACCGTAGCCACCTTGGGAGGTTCACTGCCTCATCCCAAACGAGTAAGCTGGCACCCGCGTCATACATGTAACAGTATGGATATTCTGTGTGTCCTAGATGCAGCCACGGGAAATGTCATTATTGACGCGATTTCCGTACATCCATCATGGAAGGTGTTCCTTCAAATTAGAGAGCGAACAAAGTTCGTCATCAAGAACCCAGGTTCATGTTTGCATGCAAGCCATTGGAAAAACAACGTGCAATTCATCAACCAGAGATCGGTTCTTTGGGAGCGGATCATATGAGAAACGCATTCGATGGAAGAGCCAAGCACTTGACTTGAAGTAACAGTAGCTATGGCGGCAGCTTATCGGAGCTGTACGTATATACCGTTTGCTTGTTTCGTGGTTGGCAGCACCGGGTTGGTTGACTCGATGACATTGAATGCGGTCTTCGTACGCGCGACTGCCATCATTTTAATATGAGGCTCAGTGGCTTGTCTGTCACTTATTGCCGGAATTGACATTCCCACAGGAACAGTAAGGCTGGTCGCTCCCGCCCAGCCCACACGGTCAAAAGCACTTTTCTGTTTTGCTCGGCAACACACATGTGTCTTTGTTGCGTTGAATGATGATGGGTTACAGGCATGGGCCGTCATCGTAACAGAGATGCCATGATATGACGACAATGTCGAACCCTTCTGTCTTTGACCATGCATTCTTGCTGCCCAAACCCACGGTTGCGATGTGGTTCCAGCAGCATCCTCTCATTCAAGACCGCCCGCTCTCATCTTGTAGCAGGTCCCTTGTCATCTTCCCCCCTCCCCCCTCCCAGGTATGAAGTACTCCGTACTCTACATAGTACGCAGCATGCAATAATGGGCGTGGAAAGCAAAGGGATTGGTTGTACATGTGGGATGGGGCAGGACAGAACAGATCCTGGCGTGCAGTGCAAGTGCAGCTTCCCACTTCCTGGCCGTGTGACTTTCTTCCGAG